CCTTCTCTTTCTCCCCACAGCTTGAGGACCAGAATTTCTTCCTTTATGCTTTTAGGCATGGAAAAGTAAGCATATACTTCAACTTTTTTTTAAGGTTTAATACTCAAGTCCAGCCCTACTTAAGCAAAGAATTCACAGATGATATTTACAAGTCCAGTGTAATTAGTGCAGGGTTGAAAAACGAGTTCTGTGAGTTACGGTACATCATTGTTTTTCTTTTTTCTTTTTTTTTTTTTTTAATGTTACAAAGAACAATGTGCCTTTCATTTCCTGCAGTGCTGTTAAGGTACTTGCAGCTCAAAGCAGCAAGAATACATTAAAACTAAAAAGCATTCGGTTTGGGCATTAAACATTTTTATTTTTTAGATAAATACCTCTCCCTCTACAGAAATTGTTTCAGCACTGAATTTGGCACACATTTGTAATCAGCTGTAATAATGAATGCTGTCTCGCTCACTTGAAATGGGAGAATTTACCAACTTCTTTAAAAAGAATTTGCTATTCTACAATTGAAGTGGTGTGCTACCAACATTGAGTTATCAAATCGCGATACCGCGTGCTCAAGAGACACCAGTTGTCTGTAGAAAATGACACAGCATTCTTCTGCTTTACACAGCACACTTTGTGTGTACCTTTACGCTGCAGTTATTAATTCTCCAGTACTACCACATCAAACACAAACATCGCCTGGTGGATGTCTGACATCCATTTACTGACAGCAATAACACAGGGCTGTACCACAATTATTAACCAGTTTGTGCTACACCCTCCTTGCCTTTCTCCAGAGCTAAACTCCTGCTGCAGCAGAGCAGGACTTGACTTTTAATATTCCATGAATCTCTGAAAGCCAGAATCACAAATATCCCCAGTTTGCAGACAAAAAGACTGAAAAGTTTTCCTACAAAAGTTTAAAACAATCCTACTTACAAAAAGAAAATCTATCCGATAGCCGTTTCCACGACTGAAAGTGAGAATAAAAGCCCTAGAGAGAGACCACGGCAGTGCTGAGCTGGGAATTCAGTTGTTCCTGATCCCCAGGCATGCAGTCACTTCACTACATCAGACTAGCCATTTTGTCATCCTCAGTTCACTGAAAACTAGTTTGTTTATAAAATACAACACCAAATCAGTGCATTTAACAACCTTTTTAAAATCAATAACCTTTTTTTTTTTTTTGATTGGGTGAGTTGCAAAATCACTCAGCAGTGCCAACTGAAATGAAGCTTTTACATACCATTAGGCAACTACAAAAGTGGGGAATTTTCCACACGGGTGTTCCACCCAGCTGGTCAGAAAAAAAATTCACTTGAGCAAAATATCAGGACATCGGAACATGCTCCTGCCTTTCAACTGAGGTTGTTGGTCTCTTTCATCATCCCTCCTGCAAATTTCCTCACCCACATAACTAACAGACAAATTCTGGGGTTTCTTCCTGTCCCCAAGAAGCTCTTTCCCATGCTAATGGACCTGAAGAGACAGCAGCACCGTGCGCATCGTTCGGTTACACGTTAGTTTTACACCCGGTTCCAGGACGAGACATCTGGACCTTGGACCATGCATGCACGAAAGAGCCCTATCTCACCTGCATGTTTACTTTTCATCACCATCAGGCTGGATCTCTCTCTCTCTCTCAAAAATAAAATGCTTAATATTTCTGTAAATTTTTGCAGTAGTGATCAGGTAAGTGACTGCCTGAAAACTCTTCTGGCTTAATGAAGGCTGAAGAAAAGGCTAGAGTTGGTGTTAAAGCCACTACCGAGAACAGAATGTCACCATCTTCTCTGTTTGTGATGACTCTGCTCCAGAAAATACAACTGTAAAGCCCCCTAGAAAAAAGGAGCGGCTCTAAAAAAGAAAAGCTTTTTTTCCCATAAACTTCACTGTAATGAAGGTTAGCCATACAGGCTTTCCAAAATAACACATACAATTTAAAATGATAAATTAGAATCTGTAGTAGGAGGCCTTCTTTTTCAGGGCTGTATAGTTGACCCTTTGGAACCTACATTACTCAAGGTATGCAAAATATATGTGTATAATAAATAGCTCTAGAATTTATGGAGTGGAACAGAAAGGATATTAACAGGCAAGTAGAGAGGCTGTATAACCCTCACAAGGCCTTTAAAGATTTATTTTTTTAAAATGAAGGAATGCATGCATGTAAAAGGTAGTACTTAATCGATACACTTCTTTGTGCCTTTCAGAAACACATGCAAAATTATTCCAAATCTGCCCTCAATCTGGTCATTCCGCTGTTAGCAGCAGTGGGAATAAGATTATTCACAATATTATTTTTCTTTGACTTAAAAAAAAAATTCCTCTCTGTGTGGGCTCATTCCCAGTCTCAGTAAAATCAATTACAAGACTCCCATTGACTCCGGAGGGATTTGGATCAGGCCCTGTGGAAGTGGGTCTACAGCAAGTGTAGAACAACGCAGTTAATATGATTTATTGTGTCCGTTTCTGTGCGTGCAGTTTTTCATTTTCTAAAGCCTGCAGTTTTGCTTTCATCCTCACATTCAGTAGATAAGAGCTGCAGATCTGTGTTGATCTACGCACTGGGTACACTGCAAGCTGGGGGCTGTGTGCGCTGAGAATGAGCTCAGCGTCTGCCCAGGGGGAGCAATCCCTTTAGGGGCAACAGACTGCCTTAGATGCATTTGTAAAGAAAATCTCCCACACAGGCACTGCAAAAGGTGCGTAGTCAGTTAGGAGCCTTCTGCTGTGGTGGAGAAAAATACCCTTTAGTAAAACTGAGAAAGAGAAAAATCTTTTTCCTGTTTATTAAAAAAAAAGTACCTTTTGCAGGTCACCAGTGCAGTTCCAAGAATTCACTAAAAGCTTGTTTTACAAGGCAGACTCAGGCTCCAAATCAGAGATATTTCATTTCACTAGGCTCTTACTGATTTTACATTATTAAACACTGACATTGCTGCTTTTCGGGTTGGTTGTTGAGTAACAGACTTCCTTAAGACTAAGAAACTGCAGGGTAAGAAGAACTGTGGTTTAATAGCTGTGAAAGAATATTATCTAAACATGAAATAATAACAAGCTTGGTGCCTAATACATTCTGAATTAAAATATGGTTTAATGAACACAGGCAACATATTCCCCACAAAAAAAAAAATAGCAGAATTGGCAGAACAAAAATCACAGTTTAGTCAGTTCTTCTCTTAACCTCGCAATCCTTTGGCTACAAATTAGAATTTCTGTGAACAGGATTGGTACGGGAAATTAGGCACTGTCTTTCAGAAACAACAGTAATGTTTTAAGATGGCATCTTTAGAGATGAGCAGCACAAAATCTATCAAAATAGGAAACCTTTCATATTTCAATAGGAGGAAAATACAGGAACCCCAAAAGCCAAAATCTTACCAGCCCAATGAGCCCTATGTTTTATGTCCTATAATATATGCTGGTATTTTAAAAGTTTTTTATGTATCTAAACCTCTTCTTCTTCTTCTTCTTCTTCTTCCCTAACTTCTATCTCTTGTTTAAACCCTGATCCAAATGCAGTCTGGATGTGAATGCAGCCCTTCAACCTCACTCCCACTTGCAGCTTGTTCAGTTGCTAATCAAGTCCCCAAAACTCACACTGAACACATATACAGCTGTAGGGATTTGAGGTAAAAGCAGTTAGTTGCTCTGTGAAAGGGTAATCACAGATGTATTATTATAGATACAATATTTCTACATGAGATGGATTTACATATCCCCAAAATGGTGACAGGTTTAGAGACATAAACCCTTCATACAAATTCTTTTCCGTGTATGCACACTAGATCCCAGTACAGTGGATCCCCCATCTACATTTAGGTCTTATAAAAAAAATCTGGCTCTGGGCAAAAAAAGTCAAGGAAAGCTATTAATAATAATCACTTTCACTTTGGGAGACATTATTTCTAAGTCCTAAATACAAGTAATAAAACAAAACTCAATTGCTGATGGGCCAACAAAAATTGTTGAGGTCTACCTTACTTAAACATAAAAAGGAAGAGAAGCTGTTCCCTTACACACACTTATCCTTTCACATACAGTCCCTACAGAAATTTGCTATTATTGAATGATTATTTTTTTTTTCAGGCTGCTTTACAAAGCAAGCCATTGGTTCAGTAGAAGCTATTGCTTCTACTTTAAAACTGTCCCAGTTCAAAGAATATTAGTGTTCCCAAAAGTCACAGTCCTGCTGCTACTTCCAAATAAGCTCAAGCCGCTGCCACGTGAAAGAATGGTATTGCAAACATATAGAGAAGGAGCAACAAGCTCTAGTTGAGCCTCCCTGACCTGCTTACCCGTAGGATCTACAACCTTTAAAGCACGCCGATGAAAAAAGACAAACACGGGTAGCGCTTGTATCAGTCCTGCAGTGGGTACCTGCCTAAGCATCTGGTATGTTTATAGATGTGCACTCCTGCCCCGAAACTGCAACGTTTGGAAGTGTTGCTCCTCAGTTTTGTTTAGCAGATTTTTTCAGTAGAGAATGGGTCTGCAGAAACATATTTCAAAGCAACCATTTTGTTTCGTGGGACTATCTGAGATCCTGCACTCTAAAATGATGGCTGGCCACATACCGAAAGTTAGGTACTTCACTGTGTCATGTGAGAGCATCAATAAACAAAATGAAGTTAAAAGCACATAGATAAAAATGAAAGCGATGAAGTACACACCCCTAGGGGGTCATGACTCACGGTCCAGGGATTGAACGCCTTTGCTACGGAGGAATAAGGATAAGGGTTGCATACAGCAGGCTCTTTAATGGCATCTCCCTAATTAAAATTATTTTTAAAGGAAAAAAATGTCTCTCTCCATGACTGGAGAAACAAATGCTACCTTAGATTAGTGAAATAGTAGCATTTTAGCTATGAGGAGAGTACTCAACCTATTTGTAGCTATCCCATGTCAATTATTCTGAATAATCTGTTTATATTAGACATAGGAAAAAAATCTTTATAAATATGGGCTGTTTTAATATCCCAAAGCAGGAGCAGCAGGTAAGAACTTACCATTTTCTGGCTGGTCCTTAATATCAGCTTCACTTGGCTGGCTGGGACTTTCAGATTGACTTGAATCTGAAAAACATAAAATACAGCCAAAAATTACAGGGTCTGCTGTGGAAAATAGATCAGAGGCGCCAGACTTCCTCAAAAGGCTAGGAGTACAAACTAAGGACAGGAGTGTTGCACAAGGACATGATAATGCAAAAGTCCTGTGCCTAGGTAATATTTTTGCTAGGAAAAAAAAAAGGGGAATCTTAGGGGAATCTTGTTTACGGCACTACACAGAGTGCTTGGTGTGTGTGTGTTAGCATAAATTAAGCTTTGAGAATCCTTCTTTTTAGAGAAGGCATATTTAAACTACTCTCCTACATGTTTTTTATAATGCAGCCTCTATGTTGTATACAAACCAGAGCCTTAATCCAGCACATAGTAAAGTCTCAAAACATATTTTCAAGCAGGCATATAAAGGTAACTAAGCAACACTACAAAGTCGTGGAGATTGTTGCCTACACATTTCTGGAACAAAATCTGCAAAACTGATAGAAGAGCCGATTTTTCGTCATACTTTTGTAGTGGTGACAGTACTACGAGATCACTGAAATGGATGGCATTGCCCCTGATGTGCAGCGGTATCAATGAGACTAAATACTGGATGAACTGCTTTACAACTTGTGTAAATAATGGGTCCTACAAACTCCCAGCTAACACTCTCCAATGAACACAATTTATTTGCCTAAAATAATGACATGACCTATAAAAGGATACGTGTAAATATGAGTGTTTTGCATTTTTTACACATTATTAACTCTACTTTATGTGAAGATGATCGCACTTTGGTTCAAAAATTATTCTTAGTAGAAGCTTTAGTCAAATAGTGTTTTCCTTCCGAATTATTTCTATCCCTATGAATTGGAAAAAAGGTCCCTTTACCTGTGTGAAAAAACATTTTTTCAAAAATCCCTCAAATTATTTCTTCTCCCCCCCCGCCCCCAAAATCGTTCTGTAATTTATTGATCCCATAAAAAAAGTTTTTGCTGTGAAACAAAACTTAGGAAACGAAACCACTTGCTACTGCACCAAAACCACCCCCAATCGTGGCAAACCTATTTTCTGACTTCACCTTGATTTTGCAGAGTTTAGAATTCGCTGTCTGAAATTTGACCACGTTTCAGTGAGAAGTCAATGCAAGATCAAAAGGTCATGACACTTAACTGTGATTAAATTGAAAATCTTACTTCTATTGCAACAGAGTGATAACACCACCCCTTCTTTTTCTTTGAGGTATTAATAGCGCTGCAAGAAGCAGTACTACTAGTGACCTTGGGTCAAGCAATGCTAATTTATTGCTTTATAAAGGTTCCTTGCTTTTAAGCAAATGAAGATTTTAATTACCGCAGAGCACTATAAAGAAAATGCCTGTTTTAAATATTCAAATTTTTTTTTTACCTGCTGACTGTATGCATTAGGTATCATTCAGAAGCTTAGAGGACAATCTTGAATAAATTAAAAACTACAAGTAAAAAAAAGTGCTCACAAAACAAATTTTGATAAATTTCAGATTAGAAACATTCAGAATATTTAACAAAGAAAGCTTCAGTCCTGATACTTCTACTTAAAATCAGTGAAATACTCCTAAAAAGTGATGTTTCCCAGTGTGTCCAGAATCCATTTCCTCTCTTTTGTATTTTATTATTTTAAATAATTTCTCCAATGAAGCTCAGTGAAAAAAATTATTCTCACCTCTGCAATTTTGTTTTAAATATTGACCTTCTGAGTTATCTTTAACTGAAGCTCAAATCAGTGAGAACAGATAGACTACCAGGTAATATGCACAGCGCTGTTATATTCTGGACACTAGATTTTGGCAAGAAGTTTCATGTTTCTGATACCGCGAAGGTAGAAACAAAGGTAAAATATTAGGAATGCAAAATATTTAGTTAACATTCAAAGTCAACATTCAACGGATTTCATTTTACAGGGCAGGCATTAGGCTTTTGCTTATTTTTTAGGTTTTTCTTTTCCTCCAGCAAGCCATGGTTCAATCAGCGTTTGGGCTTTATGTTTAAAGTAGGGTCAGAATTCCACAAAAATTGGTAAATTTGAAAAAGTTACTGCGAAAGTATGGGACTCAAAGCATGTCTTCCTGTCAAAATTTTAAACAATCCAGCAAAGCAGGGAGAGGGACGAGGGCTCAGCAGCAGGCGCAGGAGCCGGGCTCGGGGCTGGCGCTCTCAGCGCCCAGCCTGGCACCTTCGCTCCCCAGCACAGCCCTGCAGCCGGTCGGCAGCACACAGAGCGGGAGCTGCTCCTGGATTTTGAGAAACAAAGTACTTTTGTTTGCGTTGAGTGCTGGTTTTCCAACACCAAAGCCAGTGGCACAAGAGAGACTCTGCTGGCCGTAGGACATTTGTTTGCATACTGAATCTTAACTTTCTTCTTTTATTACTCCGGCTACTGCGATAACATTTTTCCTAATTCTGTTTTCCTGTAACCCACCCCTTCTGCTGGAATTAAATATTAATTTCTAAAAAAGACAACAAAGGCTTTCAGCACTAATCTTCATGGAGAGGCACGGGGCAATAAAATGCAGGACGGGGTAGAATTAAAACCAATCTATACTGCGGTAGAGATCACGGGAGGCTACCGAAAACGTGTACTGGGCAAGCGTATGCTCAGCATTGTTATGCAAGGTGGCATCTTGTGGAAACCCCAGATAAGAAGACTGAGTTAAGGCACTTAGCCAAAATGTTTATATGCAGAATTTTGCTTCCCTGATTTTATTCAGATGCCGCAGATGATCCGGTACATATAAATGTGCCGCCACATGGTTAAGGGATTGGCAAAATCAGAGCCGTTGTATTTTACAGTCTTGCCTAGGACGAGAGAGTCTTGCTCAGCCTCCACCGCTCGCTCTCTGCTTTTTCAGCAGTTGTCAGTAACTCCTGTCGGGGCCTTTTTGTTGTTTTGCACATGGAAACTTTAAAATTCCAGTTTTCTGAATGTTTAGTGTTTTGCGGGCTCGGCTACAACGGGAGGGGGAATGTCTGTCCTGCTGAGTCAGTTAGCCAAACAGGTGACCAGAGGAATAAATTAATTTTTGCCCATACATAATTGATATAAATGGAAGATCGTTTTCATAAGCATTTGCATTAAATCAATAAAATCACTTACTATAGAGCAGTTTAACAATTCATTTGATTTTCTCTTTTCTATATATTTGATAGCCACTCTGCAAAACAGTATACACTTTATGCCTATTTTCTTTAGCAACAACACTGCCAGTTAAATTCTACCACCTGCAATAATTAGAGCCATTGGAAAACATACAAAACAAAATATACAGTAGATGCGAGCCCCTCTTGAATCCACGGCCCCCTGCGGCAATGAGTTTCATTGGTGCCTTAAGCTAAGGCTGGTAGGAAGCCAAAGAATCTGTATATTACAATAAAGTGCATGTTATTAAGGGGAGGATTTAAATGATTTCAGATGGAGTTGGAAATATTATAGTGAGGAACCACTATTAAGGTTGCCGATTTAAAAAAAAAATAAAAAAAAAAATCACCAAGGGATCTAGTTTTATATTTAAGGAAGCTTAACTTTGAATAGCACAATGGGTTTTATTTGGGGGCTTTTTTAGTTAAAGAAAAGTTAGTGGTTGGAGTTTTTAACCCTGAACTAGCCAGAGTTAGTGTGAGTATGTACACTGGAGTCAAGGTTACTGGAGAAGAAAAGCTCAAGCGGATCTGGTATCAACAATGATCATGGGGAAACAGGATAAAAAGCAAAGCGAAGCTATTTTACTCTCTACTTTCAAGAATCAACTGTGATTAAGGGATAAAGAAAAAAAAAAACAATAAAACAGGCTAGTTTTTCCGAAGTAGCATGTCCTACTACGTCTCTATTCTCTGTTCCTCTTTGGATCTGTTTCTTAAGTGTATGCTGCCCCAGCGCAGCCGACGTGGTTGCGCCAGAGACCCAGGTCTGCCTGATCTCAAACCGTAAGCAGGCAGGGACCTTCAGCTCCAGGACAGAAGCTCTGGACTTTTCAATACACAGTTTTCCTTTTCAGCTGCAGCAGGAGCACAGCTCCAGCCGGGCTGCACAACGGCTGCATGGAAGCAGGGCTCGCAGCGCTGGAAGGGAGCGCTCCATTGTTTGGAAAGAATAAAACCTTCCCAGGAAAGTCTGGCCCGTGGACACGACCAATGTCAACAGACTGACAATGTTGTTCTTTTTTGTAGACCGTGACACAGACGGCGAAGAGTTGTTACACTCCCCCACCAAAAAAGCCCGCTTTGAGTGTCATGGTTCTTCCCAGCGCTAAACCACCTCATGGGCTACCAGACTTCGCAGAAACAGGACACTTTCTTGGGAGCTTGCACTTTCTCGACATGCCGTGTTTTCCAGGGCGTGCTGAATCCAGCCTGGGGTGGCAGTGACCGACAGGGACCAGTATTACTGTCTGCTGGTCTGCGCAAACTGAATTAACGGGTGTCAAGATTATTTCTTACCTATGTAGAGCCAACCCTCACCAGAACCTGAGCCCTCACTAGCAGCCAGCGTGCTAACTCAGGTGCAGATGCATCTATCCTCTAAACAGTAACGGTGATCCCCACGTAGCGGAGAAAAAAAACGACCGGCGATGCCAGATGAGCAAGGCTGCGCTGCCACTGCCCATGCTGAGCCTGCTCTGCAGCTAAATAAAGCGGGCTCCCTCTCCTCCGCTGCCAGCCCCGCACCTCGCAGAAGCACCGCAGAAGTGCGCGAGTTAAATTTTCCATTCATATCATGTTTAAGAAAGGGGGGAAATATTGTATAATAAACTGACATATTTTATTCAAGTTTCAGAGTCCTATTCGTAATAAAAAATTTATATGGCTGGGTTGTGTTCATGCAATAAATTTTTCATCTACAATTTCGGGCATGGATTCTACCAAAGATTTATATATGTTAAAAAAAAAATAATCTAAATCATGCTCCTTTATATACAGTCTTACGTGGTGAGCTTAAGCGATTTACAAACAGAAACCAGCACCAGGACTGAGACTTTTTTACACTCACTTTCCCTTCATTATGCATTATAATATAAACACATAGGGATTGCTCCATATATGCTACAATTATGATTTACGGCTATTTTGGTGGCTACTACTATTTCTCTTAAGGAAGGCCTGGCTCTCTGTTTAACTCCAGCCATTGCTTTCAAGTCAACTTTTATAGGGAGTTCAAAGCGCGTCATTATCATACACCTCACCGTCACACATGTACAGATCCCTACCAGATTTCCAGTCGGTATTTTATACCCCCCTGTACAGTATGCCCCATCCCCGCAGCTCTCGACTAAGGTTCTGCAGTGGTAAAATCCCTGCAGTGCCAGCCTGGTTTTTTTAATAAGGCGAGGACTCTTAATTCCTGTACACTGGGAAAGAGATTATCTTTGATAATGGAAATGTAAATCAAAGCTTGCTGTTGTTTATTCCAGACAGACATTTGTGTGTTAAGTCTGTTTATCAGGCAACACTTTGTCTAAGCCAGGAAGTAGTCAGCCTTTGTAACAAGATGTATGCAAATGATTTTCCCATGAGCCCTTGCCACAAAACTTTTGTGGCAAAAACCCTCCTTGTTACTTCACCAGTAAGACGCTACTAAGCTACCCTGTAAGTAGACTAGCAACAAAACAGCTAGCTAGACTATGCTGATGAGTTTGAATGAGACCAAAACATGTGCCCACAGTCTGTTGCTCGGTATTGTAAGCAGACTTTGTGTATTACATCTGTTTATCAGGCAACACTCTGTCTGCTGGGGCGGCTTTGTACCAAGGTAGATGCAAACAAAGATCTCCACAACTGCCCGGCTAACTTTTTTTTTGGACGCAGAAATTCCCCGATTACTGTCCTCCTCTTAGGAAATAAGAACACGGAACTTCACCCAGAGGCTGCGAGACCCTAAAGCCGTATCAAAATGGTTTCATTTTAAATCAACTTTCTTTGTTCTCACAAGCCCATAAATGATTTACTGCTATCGTGCGATAGCCTAGAATGTGGGGAATCTGTGTATTCCCATACTTGTTCCTTGATATTACAAACAAGTATTTGATTCACTTCTAAATGTTTGTTTTTAAAACAGTTTACAGCCTTTGATTCCTGCTTACTGATTCATTTCTGGAGCATTTTCTATTTATTCCTTTGCAGTAGCAAACGTTAATTTTGACTTAATTCAAATTGTCATCAAAGGCTTCCTTAAGAAATCCCACAGCACAGATTTTATTTGTTATAATAAAATATTCTTAAAGTAAACATCATGCGACTGTGTTTTTTTAATTCCAAGAGATACAAAAATCCGTTACCCAAAGGATTCAAATTGGTTCAGCCCTTTTTCCTAGACAAAATAAACACTTTAGGACTTTACTTGTTTGTATTCTCCTCAGTGGTGCTGTATGCATCACCAGCTAAAAACAAAGAAACTTTTAGCTGCTCAGACAAAATGCAGAAGCTCCCCAAACAACGAAGCGGGGGGGTGGGGAAGCATTCAGAAAGTCTGACAGTCCATTCAATATAGGGATGATGGCCATAATGCATCCAGGGTCCCCTTGCTAATTAAATATGCATTGGCACAGTTTTGATCGATGCAAGCCATGGATCAGATGACACACCTGCAAAATCTTGAGCCCAGAGCTCCCAGGAAAAGGAAAATACAGGCTGTCTCCTTATCTTTGTTTTCAAAGGCTCTCAATTTCTGTGCTTAGATATCTAATTTAATTCTCTCACCCCTCAGCAAACTGGATTAGGAAAGTCAATACTGCCATTGTGCATCGACAGGAACACACAGCTTTCCTTTTATTCAATTTAGCCATGACCTTTAGACAAAGATAATGACAACTGTCTAAAAGTAAGGTGAGGCCTTAAGGAAGACCCTGCAGCGGGGCCCCTCTCGCTTTCTGCGCCTCCTCTGCCCGGGAAGAGCCCACCAGACATGGAGCAAATTCAAAAATAAATTTCCTCCCCAGACCACAGCGACTAGCTTGGCGGAGCAGCACCCTCGGCCACCAAGGGTTCTGTCCCACCCAGAGGAGCTGGGACGCCTCGCTGCCGGCACGGGCCGGTGGCCGGACCCTCACGAGCCATTTGCCGAGCGGTGGCAATGTTTCCGGAGGAAGCACGCATGCCAACGGCAAGTGCCGAAGCACTTGCAACGAAGAGGGACTGCGCTGTCCTATTTTTTCCGTGGCTGTTAGGGAAACAGTGAAACGGAAGGGTCAGGCAAGTGTCGGCGGTAGCACTAATTTTTAATTTCTGGCTCTGATACTTGGGAGGAATTGTAATCCTAGAGCTAAGCACACGGCGCGGAGAGCCGCGCACAACCGCGCTTCGCTGCGGCAGAAGGAGGAACCGGCACGCGGATTTTCCTGGAGCTGAGCTGAAGCCAATGGAAATTACATTACTTTCCGATAGGTCTCGCATCAGTATTTTTACCAGCCTTCCTACATTAGATAGCATCTTTCTAATACATCTGTAAGGAAAGAACAGAGAACATGCTCTAAGCTAACGAATGGCTATCAGACAGTAATCCACTTTGGTACCTACAGATACAGGTTGTACCTGAATCAGTGATGTAGGCATACATAAATTCATATTCATTGAGCAGTTCAGCTCCGCAAAATGTTAGCTTCCATACTGCACAATGTTTTAATTCTGCAGTATTTTTTTAGCTGCATTTAAAAATATACTTGGCATTTCTAGCTGTGGACCAATATTTTTCTCATGTCTTTTTATACAGATTTGGAGGGAAAGATATTTGTAATGGAAAAAAATATGTGCAAAGTTGGATTGCTAAGTTTCTGCAATCTTGGGAAATAAAAAAACCCCAGCCTATGTAAGAGCTACGAGAAACCATATGGATCAACAAGAGCTGCCCTCATATCCCTGGGAAATATAAATTAACCTACATTTCATCATCATAAACCCCAAAATAAAAAATCTAATTAGAGTCTCTACCCTCAGATTCACTTCTAGAAAATTTGCTTATCCCCCTCACAAAATGATTTACAGTACTTACATCCATTTCTTCAGAGTGATTTAAATTTATTGAATCATTTCAATTTTTAGAGAGCTTCCATTTGGATCTGTATGGGTTTCTAGACATATGCAGTGCTCAGTTATTTAAAATTAATTGCAGTACAATAATTTTAAATTGCTTCACACTATACGAATCTCAAGTGCTTTGAAATATTTGAACCATTCTATTTAGAAGCCATCAAACTTCTGAGCACATGCACCACAGAGTTGTTTTAAAAGCCGAAGGGCCATACTGATGATCCCAAAGTGCAGGTGAGCCCAGCTCTGGGCATGCTCAGTGCACATGGATCTGAATTTATAGAACAATTCAATAAATTTTGCCTAAATGTCAATCTTTAATTAACAAAACCAGATTCTGTCATAATTTCAAACCACTAAAAAATTTCTAAAACTAGAAAAGCACTGTTATAAAATAATGGCATACATTAAAACTATTATTACTTCTAATGTATATTTATAGAACATCCTTTTATCTTGGAAATTAAAACATCTTATTAACATTAAACTCAGCTTTACAATACCTCTGTGGGAAAGGTGAGCATAACTATGCCCACTTTACGCAGGGATGAAGGAGGCACACAGAGGTTAAGTGATTTACCTTCAGAGGCACAGTTACTAAAAGGAGTAAAAAGCAGGGGGCTGAGCTCTCAAGCCGCTGCTCTAGGTAATAAAGTATCATTCCCACCAATACAGCCATTACAATGGCAACGGCAGCACCCGCTTAGGAAGCCTTCAACTACATTATGTAGAAAATTACTTGGTAGAGTGGATCCAAAGTCACCTAGAAGGGATATTTCCAGTCACTCTCAGCTTCTGTTTCGCTTGCCTTCTTTTTCTGATTAGGTATTTTGAAAAACAAGAAATAATTTCTACATTTCTCTCCAGAGTATTTTCTAACCCAGTTAACAATAACAACAACAGTATTTAGGGTGACTAAATAGCTGGTTTAGCAATGCCTGACTTCATGTATAAAGGCAAGTGAAGAAGAAACTGTGTGATGAGCAGATCTGGTAGCTTTCGTCAAAGTCTCTAGGTCTGCTTCTGTGCAATTCTACACTGGTGAGTAAACCAACATCAGCAAAGCAGGATTATGTCCACCATATGGTGAGACTCCATTGGCGGTAGTACAGTCACCCAATTAATCTCTATCCCCCACCATCCCCTTGTTATTTATTTATTGTGACAAACTCATCCTTATGGGACCCAAGGCAGGGAGCTGCATATTCCCAGGCTATTCTCGTCAGTGCCCATCCTCATTCTTTATCCGTGCTGCCCAAGCAGTAGCTGGCGGTCTGGTACCTCTCCTCCGGCCAAGACGCACGGTGCTACAAGGTCATGACCAAGGAGGCTCTCTAGATTTTCCGTAGCAGACAGGAATAAAGAATTTTTCAACCCTGCCCTCCATCAAAAGCCAAATAAAACCCACTCCCTGACAATGAGCACAGCCTTCTTAAACTGCTTTCCAAAGCTCGCCTTTCAAACATCACACAAATAACCTAGCTGTTTCTGGAGACCGTCAGAGTGTTCAGATATTTCAGTCTGTGCCTCTTGCTAAGGACTCTCTGCAGCCGGAGCCATTCAAGACCTCCTCAGTCAGCAAAAAAAAAGCAAAACCTTCACCAAATCAACAAACTGGACAAAAGCCCTGACCTCCTCCTCCTTTTTCAACCTCTCACGCTTCTCCTTCTTCTAAAGGACAGGTGTAAAATTTTCCTATGACTAACTGAAAATTCATGTAGGAATCTATACATCAAACAGAATAAAGAATACTTAAAAAGAGCTAATATCTCGAAGAATGGGCCCATTTTCCCTATTAAGGATTATTCTATTTCACACAGGAAAAAACGATGTTGCTAATAAAAATATGTGTGATTATTTAAGGAACAAACAAAAAGTGAACTAATATTCCATGGAGTTCTTCTCAATAATGGATTAATATCAAGTTACAGATGGGGCAATCTGAACGAAGTTTAGGTACTATTTTTTTATTATGGATCTACACTAGCAGCCTTGTTTTCACAACTTACTTTCATTTTGATGTACCTGACACTTTTCCTCTTGGTTCCCGTTTCAGCCCCTGTTAAGTACATATTTGGTTGTAGTGGCCAATTTTTTTTTTTTTTTTTTTTTTCTGGCAGATGTCTTTTCCTTGTTCTGTGCTCTGAGGAGTTCAACGTGGCATGTGAAAAATTTCCATTTCAGGTTTTCTTAAGCTTTATGCAAAATTAAACTGCTGGCAAAAATACATAGATATATAAAATTATACAGCAGAAGAAGCTGCTCAATAGTTCCCTTTCCTTCCTCCCTACCTTCCTCTCTTTTGCCTTTTTTTCTGAAAATAACTGCAAAAATATTGTCATCAGCCCAAAGCCCTGCTCGAACTGAAAAGTCAGAGGGTTTTGCCCACAAAGAATTGCCACTGATTGCCACTCCGTGGATATGTTTCTACTCTCACAATATTGTAGGCTGCGAAGAAGAACAGAGAATTACCATAAAAATCAGGACGTGTTTTGTTGCATCAGTATCATGTTGGCATCAACAACATAGAGTCGGGCAGAAAAAAAAGCAGCCTTTTGGTAGGCAGCCTACTTGTTCTGTGTTTCTGCTGTGTTTGTAAGCCACGCAAGTGGAAGATAAAGTTAAAACTCGAAGAGAAATAACATCCTGCAGGCTCGGTACAGAGCTACCATGCTGAGTTACAGCAAAGTCTAAGGTACGATCGCCATAAATCATGGAGAAATGGAACTGTATCTACATCTCAAAGGACAGTGGATCATTACAAATATATGAAAGAGTTGGGCAAATATATATGTAAGGTAGGATTCCCTTCCCCGCCGACACACGTTGAAAAAGATTAAGCTGAATGTGTTGACTCTGAAAATACAAGCTAAAATACATTTTCACTTGGTCCCAGTGTTGCAAAACTAAATTTTGAGGAAGAAAATTAAAACCAGAAAAGTCCAGAGCTCTCAAAACCTGAAACTACACTGTGTAGACAAAATTTTAATCAAACTTTTAAAGCCATGGTTATGATCTGATGAACAGACAGCTTGACTTGATTACATTTTTAAGTTTCAGTTTCTATTTCTGTTTTAAGATGAAAAAGATCATAGAGTGTCAGAAATTTGAATACTGAATAGCAAAAGCTCTTGCAGGTTTAGAAAGCATATAGAAAAGCTGGCAAAAGAAAACGCTATTCCATTGCCACCATCTGCTTTCTGGCATATTGAAGAAACTTTACTAACAGCAACATTTTCTTGCATTAGAATATCTGCTAATTAGTTTTGTTGTAAATTTTTTTTTAAATTACCTTTTACACAGAAGGCAAATAGCCAGTTTTTTTGGCTGGCTACACCTTACACCATGTCTGATAACATTTTCACATTAAGTTCAGTTTACCTCATGTTCTTTCTATCAAAATCCTATCTTTAGCATAGCCAAAGCCTGCAAAAACTTTGCCTTGCTGAGACTAAAGAAAAAAACATCAAACATACGAAGTGTTAAAAATCGCTGAATAACTCAAAGGAAAAAAGATAATTTTGAAGGCGTTTTGGCTGAAATCTATTTTCCTTTGAATTGCATGAGTGTTTTAAAATGTTAAAAACACTACAGAGTGACTAATGAATGTAAAAGAATGATAAAGAGTATGGGTCCAGTTATCAGTGATGTGCCTAAAACAAAATAATTTTGGACAGTCTGCCATGCAAATATTGACTAAAATGTCATAAATAATGTCTGCAACAAAGGGAATCCTGCAAAGGAATATTCTGTTGTACTTAATGCATTGTAGAGCATGCCTTTTAGCAAGCAGTACGTTGCAGAGCCTGAAAACTTCAGTTGGACAAAAAAAGCTAAAATTTCCCAGATAAAAATATTACTAATGTTTGTTTTTGGTTTTTGTTTTTTGTTTTTTTTTTTTTTTTTCAGAAACAGACCTTCCAAAAAGTTAAAGGTACAGCATTACATTTGGAAAATGGTTCACTTAGAAGTTGACTTTTCGAAAGAAATGAGTTGTCCCAAAATTAAAAATAGACCAAATGCAACCACCTCATTGACTTATGACCATCTCCTCTGCCATTTTTACCAGTATTTTCACCCATTTATTTGCTGGCAGGGCAGAGGCTGTTTGCAGTTCTTTATCATACTGTTCTG